ACCGCCCTCGGCTGCCCGACGTTCTCTCTCTCTCTCTCTCTACCTCTCCCGCCGTTCCTTCTCACAAGCCAAGGCCGGGCGGGGAAGCGCCCCTCCCTGGGCAACTCGGAGACGACTGAGCCGCTTTTTCTCCGGCTGTGCGGCCCGGTGCCAGGTACTCCACGGCCCGGCACCGGTCCGCGGACCGGGGGTTGGGGACCACTGGTGTAAACAATTACCACACTACCTTCAAACACCACTTGAAAGACTAATGAACTTTTAAGTGGCTTGTTAACAAAATGGTTGCTATAAAGCAATTATTTAGAGCTGACAAAAGAAAACTGAAGGGTTTGGCTTTTATAATCAAATAATTAATTGAAAAACATGGTTGCTAAACATTTTAAGTAATCAAGAGCAGCTTTAAATTGTAGTGCTATTCTTATATTTCTGTTTATACTTGTGATCTGCCCTTTCATTTCTTTTCCACTCTTGCACCGCTTCTGTTTCATTGCTTTGTGCTATTGTCACCCACCCTATTGTACTTCTTAATTTCTACAATCAGAGCTCTGGAGAAAATTGGAAATGGATTGACAACAGAGAAATATGTCTTCCAAGTATTTTTGTCTACTAATGAGGCAACTGTATATCAATCAAATTCCCAAAGGTCTACCGTTAATAGGTCTACCACTTTATTGATAATTTTAATGGCAACAGCACTCAAGTGATGAATTGATATGATATGCAAAAAATTGAGGATGGGTAACTGTTATACAATTCTAATGTTTAATCATCTTGAATTCTTAAAAGTGTGGGGAAGATTTGGAAAGTACCTAGATTCAAAGGTGTGTCTAGTTCCAAACATTTACACTTATTTCTATCCAACCCAATCAAAGATGTTTCAGGCTGTTTGGGAGCTTTTATCCCTTCACAAAAACAAAACAAAAAACTATACTGGATTTTTCGGAAACCTGACAATTATACAGGTGAAACTCAAAAAAATTTCAGTTTTCAGTTGCATAGGTGATATTATTTCAACAGAAATGAGAAGGTCAGGTTTATTCCAAAACACCTTTTCTCCAATGAGATGTGTTAGACTTTTCTTCCTTGGCCTCTGCTAGTGAATGCATGCTGATCATGTCAATTTTTGCTTCTGCTTTTTAAGGAGTGGATATGATAGATTCTTCTGAAACGATCAATACTGTAAATTTGAGACACGGGGATGAAAAACTTACCTTTTGCTGTTAACCTTGCCATGAATTGACATACTTGTTTTATTTTGTATGTTTTTGTTCCCTGTAAATGTTTAATTCTGGAACTCTGAATGTTCTTATTATTCATCTGCTTTGAGATAGGCAACCATTGATCTGATATAAACACCTAGCTAGTCACAATGAGTTACTGGGTTTAAACAGTCGATACAGGAATAGAGCTGTATTAGTCTGTGATAGCCAAAAGTCTGGTAATGGAGGAAACTATGTTTTCCCCCCTGTCTGTTCCCTTAAAATATTATGCAAATTATTTTTGCATATCATCTTTAGTCAGATATTGATTTTGTGGTACTCTAAGAGAAGCTGGTTTGATAAGCAATATCATCTTACTTCCTTTGTATTATTCATCCCCTGAGATAAGATGGCAACTGGAGACTAAATTATAAAGTTTAAATTAGTATTGGAACTTGTGATAATAAAACTCATGTAAAGATTTACTAATTCCACTGGGTCTTTTCCTCCAACCTTGGTAGCCCAAATCTGCAGAAGAGATCTTGCAAATGTTGGATTATGGAAACAAAAACAGAACACAACATCCTACTGATGTAAATGCCTCCTCATCTCGGTCCCATGCTGTCTTTCAGGTAAGATGAAACCTGTAGATAAGGTGTCTGAGGATCTTAGATAACCTTTGATGCTTTGTGTAAAAGATAGAAAGAACTCTCAGATTATGGTATGTCATTCATAATAGCTGTGTATTGGGAAGAAAGTTCGAGCTTGCAGACATACAGTGCCTGCTTTAAATCCTTTGTACTAAATAGCCTTAAAGAGAAGGACTCTTTAGTCTATTGAAGTGTAAAAATAAATGTCTCATGTACTGACATTAGAGTAACATGATTTTGCAAACTGATTTTCCCCCTGTTCATTACTTTTAATAAGTGTGGTTTGAGTTAAAAGCAGCTGGATCCTATACATCTTTATTCCTGTAAAATTCCCATTGATTTCAGTCAGTCTCATTGCTTGGGAATCCTAGTCCACAGGATTGGAGCCAAAAGGCTTTCCAAGAAAATGTCACCATAAAAAAAAGCAAGCTTTCCAAATGTGCTGTCCAACTTTAACTTGTGATTTTATAGCACAGCATGCTGCGTTTAACTGTATTGAGTGGCATGTGAGACAAAAGAGGCACTTTTTTTAAAATAAAGTTCATTTTCCAAAATGTGATTTAATCTCAGGAATATCATCTAACATGAATCTTAATTCTTTTAAACACTTACATCTCCCAATCTTTGAACAATTATACAATGCCAGACCTTCAACTCTTGAATAAAAAAAAACAACCTTACTTAAGTGTGTGTACAGTAATCAGTAATTTCTGCTTTCTAAATTGATGTATATATTATTACAGGTAGTCCTCTATTTACAACTACAATAGAACCCAAAATTTCTGTTGCTAAGTGAGATATTTGTTAAGTGAGTTTTGCCTCATTTTGCAACCTTTTTGTCATAGTTGTTAAGTGTACCACTGCAGTTGTTAAGTTACTAACATGGTTGTTAAGACAATCTGGATTCCCCATTGATTTTACTTCGCAGAAGATCGCCACATGGCATAAATATGAGTCAGTTGCAAAGCTGAATTTTGATCATGTGACCATGGGTGGAAAATGGTCATAAGTCACTTTTTTCAGTTCTGTTCTGACTTTGAACGGTCACTAAATGAACTGTTGTAAGTCGACTACCATGTTTCCCTGAAAATAAGACAGGATGTTATTTTCTTTTGAACACCCCCCACCCGCCCGAAATAAGTGCTTGGCCTTATTTTCGAGGAGGTCTTATTGTTTTTGAGGTGCAGGAGGCGACGAGCGTGGTTACCTCATGGCTGCTGCTGTGTTGCAATATTTTCAGGGAGGGCTTATTTTAGCACATGTGCTGAATAGCCTGATTTGGCTTATTATCCTGGCAGGTCTTATTTTCAGGGAAACAGGGTACCTATATTTGAAACCTTGCTAAATTGCTTTTTCTTCTGCGTTTGTTTGTTTGTTTGTTTGTTTAGATTTATTTAAGGCAACAAGATAAAACTGCAAGTATCAGCCAAAATGTCCGTATTGCCAAAATGTGTCTCATTGACCTGGCAGGATCCGAACGTGCCAGTGCCACAAAGGCCAAAGGCGCTGTCTTGAGAGAAGGAGCAAATATAAATCGATCACTGCTTGCTCTTGGCAATGTTATTAATGCCCTCGCAGACCCAAAGGTCAGTAATAATTTCCTTCCAATCTCCAGCAATGTTTCTATTAGATTTCACATTGGTCAGTGTGTGATGAGCTGCACAATCCTATGTGTCTTTATTCATTGGGGTTGTAGTTGTTTGCATGCTGCATAGTTGAGAGGGTCTAGGCATGAGTCCTACTTTCGACAGTGGAGTTTCCTTATGCCTATTCAAAGAGAGAACTAATGACATATCTATCATTATTATATCTGGAAATGTGCTCTTGTTTTTTATTTAGTTGAGAAGGCTGAAATGAAAAAATAACTAGCATAGGATGATAACTAAAAGGACATTCTCCCATGTCCTGGAAGGAACTTCCCAAATTAGTTCCAAACCACACACAATTTTTACCAGACATACATCCTGATTGTCACATATTTGCAAAGAGAAGGAAGATTGATTTTATGCTTGCATTGGGAATCTGGGCCAAAGGTTTTCTTTATGCCAACATGTGTGGAGACAGGAAGCCCCCAGCAGCATAATCTAGCATACAGAGATTGACATTGCCTCTCACACAGTGAATTTTGTTGAAATTTTATTTATAATGCTAATTTTTCTGTTACTGGTAATTCACATTTTTGAGGTAAGGCAAACCTGGGTCTATCCTTTTTTGCAAGCAATGTTTTGGAACAAGCAAAAAAAGGGGCAGGAGAAACAACTTTTTGAACTGTTAAAGCAACCCCCTCTTTTCCCAGGGACACAGAATTTCTTTTAAATTGTTCCTGACTGTTCATACCCTTCACTGAGAAAAATAAAAAATAAAAGTACCATGTTTCTCCAAAAAGAAGGCCAGGTCTTATTTTCTTTTGACCCCCGAAAAAAACAGCTAGCCCTTATTTTTCGAAGGTTCTAATTATTGACTTACCACATGGCGGTGGCACCAATAGTCCCGCCCAGCAGGAGCCTGCTGCTGGCCCACTTCTGCGGCCGCCACTTGCACGCATCTCCCTGGCTTCCCTTTCACCTTTAGATGCCTACCAGAAGCTTTCACCTTCAGATGCCTGCCAGAAGGCATCTGCAGCTGATAACAGAGCTCCGGATCTATCCCACCCTAGCTTAGTTTTTACCTCTGTGCCTTGCCCCATCCCCTGCACCTCAGGGTGGGTGGGATCTTAATTAGGGCTAATTTTGTGGGTGGGGCTTAATTTGATCCCATGCGCTCAAAAATGTGATAGGGCTTCTTTTCAAGGTGGATCATCTTTTTGGAGAAACACAGTAATAGGCAGCATTATTATAATAATGTGACTTTTTAATGATGAAATTCTTTAAAAATGAAATAAAAGTGATAAAAGCAGCCTCGAGAGAGATCTAATATGATGTAAATATTGTACTAAGGCACAGCTAATTAAGAATGTGTCTAACGAAGCCTGGAATTTTTTTTTTTAGAATAAGAAGTTTTAAGTCAATGTTTCAAATGAATTACTAGGCGGCGTAGGCAGGCAGATCTTAACACCACCATAAACAGGCCACCAAAAAGAAGTCTACAGAAAAGTAAACCAAGGGTTGTATGTAGCAAATTTATCAAGTCAGGTCAAATTGGTCAGGAGACACAAAAGGTGTCTAGAAATCAAAGTGCAAGTTAATCAAATAAGTCTGGATGTTAAACCACAGAATGGCAAGACAGGTAGGCAGGTACATAATTTCCAATAATTTGATCAGAACATTTTATATGTACACATATACACACTTTGGAGGACCAAGTTCCTTTAAGCCTGAACTGCGCCCATCACTTCAGAGACGTTGGCCCAGATAGCCCTGCATTTCAGGGCTGTTTATCTTTCTGGGCTTCCACATGATGGCACTGTAACTCTCTAAAATTTATGTTTTGCAGTTCTGGTTGGCACACTGCCTAGGTTGTCAGAAAGGGATCTGGTTTAGGTTGTATACCAAGAGTTAGTTCTCTGCCTCTGGACACTAAGCTTCCACACTTTTCCCCCCTGAATCTGAGCTGGACATCAATGATTTCAGTTTCCAACATCCAGATCTGACTGCTGGGAGTTGTAGTCCAGCACAGCTGGAGTACTATATGTCTAAAATATTTGTTAAACAATAAAAAAAAATTTTTAATGAAAGTACGCTATTGAAGCAATTCAGAGAAAAAATGCTGTAGTTTGGAATTATGACCAAGAATAAAAGCTAATATACTGCAGGCTGTCAGTTATATCTACCTATCCCCGCCACCTGGAATGGGCTGAAAATGGGGGGCACAGAGGCCGAATATGGGGGTCAGTGGCAACAATCCCCATAGCCTGGAATAGTTGATAGGTGGTATTCCGGGAGGCCAATACAACCTCCAATCAACTGCTCGTGCTAAATCAGGCTGTGCTGAAGTTGACCAGGCTGTTTGCTGTAAGGAGGCAAATTGCCTGGAGGCAGAGGCAGAGTTCCCCCCCCCCCCGCCTTGTTTTCCTCCCCAAAAGCTAGGTGCGTTTTATAATCCACAGAATTTATTGTCCAAAAAATACAGTAACTTGTCTTAATTTATAACATTATTATAAGGCAATGTATTGTCATTTGACAACCTTTAAATTAAGATACTTTATAGGAAGTTGTTTGTGTTGGGGTCCCTGAAACCAGTTGATTACATATATTATGACAAAAAAATCTAAATATTCTGGAAATGAAGGCTGAGAAGTTTAATGTTTAATCCTAAAACTATGCCATTAGAACTTATTTTAATGAATCTAGTGACAGATTCACAAACCATACATCAATACTGTTATGATTGTTCTTTTCCTATACAGAATGAATTGACAAAATTGAGGAAGTAGAACTATTAACAATTAGGGAGATTAGAAAATTGCCAACGGTAGAATAAAATCTTTGAATTAATATAAATTATTAACAGAAATGCACAATTAGAATAGAAAAATCTAATGTATGTCAAGATTTAAATAAATAATTTCACTATCAATTATTATAGACTGTTTAATAATTGTATTTGAAGAAGCTTTGGCACCCCATATCATGACATGGGATTACTGATGTGACTTTATTGAAGTGCTGTTTAATTATCTGCAGTACAGGACTTTTGTTTACACACATATTTCCATGGAAACTAGAATTTGTTTTTAAAATGTATACAGTCAGCTCATCTTTCAACCAACTTTTGAGTGATTTTCAATGAATGCTGATAGTGCGAGTTTGCTGTTCACATGTGTTATATATGCAAATGTTCCCTGTTACCAGCTCTCTGATTGGCTGGTCATTTGACAGTTGCTTTGGGCTCGGGTATAAATACCCTGACAGTTGCAGGGACGTTACCAGCTCTCTGATTGGCTGGTCATTTGACAGTTGCTTTGGGCTCGGGTATAAATACCCTGACAGTTGCAGGGACGTTTTGAATCGCAGTCATCTCGCAATAAACATCTTACTCTCTGATTCCATGGCTCCCTTCCCCTCAAACATATTCAACAACATGGAAATGTTTATGTGTAAACTATATCAATTGCCCTGCAACCATGGACATCTAGCAGTTTAGTGACATCACAGCTACAGGGTGTTCACCATTCTTCACATATTCAGGTTTATTTGGAAATATATCGGGACTATTGTGAAAACTGGAATTATGGCTTTGTAGATGATGTGTTCAGCAGTTGTTATAAAGGTGTTGTAGACCCATTTTAGTCCTCCACTCATTACAGATGGCTGCTATAATTTTCCTCTATAATTAACAATAGGAAAAGAAATAGAGAAGTAGCTGTTGTTGACTTTTATTATAGAAAGACCCAGGAAGAGAAGATAGCCGGAACAGTAGACGGACTAACTGGTTCCATCCTAACATTTTTCATTTCAAGAATTTAGGAATATAACTTACTAACTTTTGATTTAATTGGAAGGGATAAAAAATTAGTAGAGAATGGTGAGGATCAGCCAGGTGTTGTAAACAAGCAAAACTTTTCAAGATTTTTATCACCTACTGCAAAATGTGCAATATGGAACAGCTGTTTGAACTTGGTCTAAAGCTATAGTAATTTTAGCAAGCTATTAAACACTTCATGTCTTGTGCTGGTTTGTTTTTCCCCCAGAAAAAGAATCAGCATATTCCCTATCGGAATAGTAAGCTTACTCGTTTACTGAAAGACTCTCTCGGAGGAAATTGTCGCACTATCATTATAGCTGCTATTAGTCCTTCTTCTTTGTTCTTTGATGACACCTACAACACTCTTAAATATGCCAACCGAGCCAAAGATATCAAATCCTCAGTAAGTAAACATTGTTTCAAAATTCTTCATTTATAATAGCAACTTATGTACATTTTTATGCACATGGATGTGTATATCTTCTTTACTTCTTACTTTAAAATAGCACAGCAGTCAACCTGTAATGTTTATTTGCTAGAGCTTATATGCCTCTCTATTCCTAAAGGACTTACAGATATGAGATGGTTCAAAGCAAGTAAAATAATAATGTCTAATTAAATTAGTTAAATAGCCCTGATAATCAGGGAAAAATTGGGACAGGGGGCTTCTTAACATGAGGAGTCCATTCCTCCTAACAATTTGTCCAATGAGTCTTTAGAAAAGCTACTTTTAATAGTTGTTGTTCTGTTCCTCCTTTTTCTGGTTCTACGTTATTTCCTTCCACCATAACATCCAAATAGTTCCTTGACATTCAAGATTCCACTTGATTTCTTCTCCATCACCCACTCACTGCAATTCTCTGCCTTTCCAAATAATTTCTTCAATTCCCCGGGCAACTGGACTTTGTTTCTAAGGGTTGGCTGATTTTAAGATACGTTTTACCAAGAATTTCTTTAACTACTGCTGTGTAATAACCAGGTAATGACTTTTAAGAAGCCCTGGTAAGAAAAGGGGAATGTACCAACAACATCACAATTAATAAAGAAAGTGATACTAACTTTTTTATTCATCTCTCCACAGATAAAGAGCAATGTTGTAAGTCTGGATAGCCATATAAGTCAATATGTTAAGATCTGTGAGCAACAAAAGAAAGAGGTATGTCTGCTGTTATCATTGTTAACTATTAGTAGTATTTTTTTAAAAAAAGTAGGAATAAAGAATTGAGTATTGATGCTAATTATTATGCATTAAAATAACTATTGTACCTCAACATTGAAGAAAAGCAGGTGTCAGAAGTATAATAATAAAAGCTTGAAAAATTGCTTTACGAATATAAAATTAAAAAAGATAATGTGTGCCAAGTTCCTCCATTTTTTTTAACACTACTTACTGTTTCAGATTTTAATGCTGAAAGAGAAACTGGAAGCATACAAAATGGGAAAAATATCTGTTCCCAGTAACCAAGATACAGCAATAAGTACAAATCAGCAGCAAGTTGAAATATCAAGGTAATATTTATGATTATTTCTTTTTGATATTTACAATTTTTATACAACTCATGCTTACATGTTTTCTGGGATAATCTTTGTTCCTGTAACGTGTCTGGCTAGTTTGTGATAATGGATTGCTGGACTTGCTTAGACAGGTGCCCAATCAATTAAGTCACTGTTTATATTCTTACGTTAGCTCATATTCCTGTAGTACTAATTGGTGATCCCATCATTACTCAAGACTTCATTTCCCAAGTTTTCAGGAGAAGGGATGCCAAGCTTCCATTCACTAATATGATAAACTAACCTAAACTCTAGATTCACACCACATAAAGAAGATTCAGTGTGATTGGCTATCGTGGCTTTGGCATATTACGCAAATTACAACCATACCACTGTTTTTCCTGATTGCATTACTAACATAAAGTTCATTATTGCCAATGTTCACTCGGTGGTACAGATTGAATCTCTGTCCCAGAGTCTAACAGGTTCCCTCTTTGGCAATTTCATTGGTTTAAAGCAATATGACTCCTTATTTGAACAGTTACATTAGTTTCTGATTTATTTCCAGGATTAATTCAAAGCCATATTTTTATAGTTGTTTACTCCTTGGAGTAGATGGGGCACCATCATCTCCTATAGATCCTTTCACTCGAGTTGTCCTTTTCTATTCTTAGGGTTTAACACTTCCTTTCAAGGATTTTTTTTTCTTTTTTATCAATTTTGATTTCATTGTTAATACCTTTCTTTATAAGAAGGCTATTGCACTTAATTCTGGTGAAAATAATTTTAATGGTTTATTTACTAGTATTCTTTCCTTTTGTTTGTGTATGGATTATAATTTTTTCAATATTTAATATGCTTTAATTGCTGCAGCCTGTTCTAAGGAAAAATGTAACTGAAATGTATTTTTAAAAACTGGTCCTTTGAATTTCTAAAAAAAATAATAGCAGAAATGCACAAAGAAAATAAGCTAGTAAATTCAGGGCCAGGCATTTTGACAGATTAGAAATGTGACTTCTTCAGATTGTTTTTTTTTTTTTTTTTTTTTTGTCAGAGAGAATTCAATTTTTTTCTTTTAGCCAGGCAAAGAAACATAATTTTGTGTTAACAGCAACATTTTGTGCCTATTTTTTTCATTTTTTAAAAAAAAATAGTTATTTCAAAGTGGGAGTTTTTAAAATGCCATAATAGAGATTGTGCGTGGGTGATTTTACTATTAAAAGAAATAATCAAAGTCTTCTTAAAAAGGATAAAAATACATTAGAAAATTATGTGGGGTAAAACTGTATGTAATGAAGCAACTTTTGTCACTTTTTTCTGGATAATAAACACATTAAGTAGTAATTTTAGTTTGTTATATTTCTGAGATGTTTTAACCAGAGCTGTGGTAACTCCATATATAGAAATAATCCCAAAGGGAGGATCATAGGAACTAATTATTATGTGTGAAACATCTCAGTTTTTACAATAAAACCTTCCCATGGTAACCAGCATTTTAATACCCCACTTAAAAGGGTCTTTAACCTTTCTGTTAAAAACAGTTAATAAAGACAGAACTGTTACAACATAATAAATCAAAGTTCTTAAATGTTTAGGGTTTTTTTTCCTCAATAGAGGCTGAGAGTTCTTAGAACTTTTACACCCACAACTCTGCTTTCTTACAAATAGTACTGCACAGTACTCCCATCTTTAAATCCATGGTTTATCTTTAGGGCAATCTTATGGCCCTGGGACAATATTCCAAGGATCAGTGCAGTGGTTAGATTTCTGGCTCAGAAATGAAAAATTCAGGCTTAAATTACCCCTTTAGTTTCCCTCCCAAACTTTAAAGCTGGATTTTACTAATGTCAGAAACCTTAATTTTGGAAAAAACCCAAATGAGGTATGAGAGAGGAGGCTGGCAAGCCTGAAGGTACATTATGTAAATTATTTTTTTCCATTACACCCTACATGACCTGGCCAAATGTATTTCATTATATGCAATGAGGAGATACTCCCACTCATCAATAAAAGAAGAGACTTCCATTAGTTGCAGCCAGCTGCAGGAACAACTTTAGTATACACTGGAGTAGAAAATTAGATTGCTTTTTCATTTTTTTAAAAAATTGTATAAATATAATACATTTTTTCCATCTTTAAGTTAAGTCCTAGACGGAAAAGTGTGATATATATATATATATTTATATATAGGCCATTTATATATAGGCCTATATATATATAGGCCATTCACCGTCAGTATATTTATCCGGCCCCAAAGAGAATCTTTTAAGACTATAATCCTCAAAAACATCATTACTTAAGGATTTTCTTTTGCAATTTCATACCTTCCATAATTTCCAACGGAAAAAGGTTGAATGGTCTTCGTAGGCTGGGTGGGGTGTTATTTTAAAAAGTTTCAACAGCTGACAATAGGTTTTTAATATTAACGGTTATGAAAGAAATGGCTTGTTAGCCTTGAATAGATGTAAAAAGTGGTAATTAATACTTGATCTTCATTGTATGCCTCCTGAGAAAACAAGTGTCTGCCTGAAACTTGGAGATTTTATTATATATCACAATGATATTAGCCAATGATGTTTTAACCAAAACTTTTTTTAGAAACTGCAGAGGTGTAATGCAATTTCTTTGTTTCCTCAAATATGTGCTATTTCTATAACTGGTTTCATTGATATAAATGTTTGGGACAGGTTAAAAGAAATCTTGAAGTGTGTGTTTGCAAATCGAGAAGAAATCAGGAATGAGGTCCTCAAGCTTGACTTACAACTAAAAGAAAATGTCCTTAAAACACATTATCAGAAAAATTGCCACGAACAAGTTGAAATAGTATGTTCCTGCTCACCAGAGAGACTGGAAAAGGTAAGAAATTTATACAACAGATCTATCTTTCTATGTTTTTGAAATGCTACTATATTTAATGTTCAAAACTGGGATATTGTGAGTTCTAGTTCCACCTTAGGCACAAAGCCAACTGGGTGAAGTTGGGCCTGTTGCACTCTTTCAGCAATAGCAATAGCACTTAGATTTATATACCACTTCAGAGTGCTTTACAGCCCTCCCTAAGCGGTTTATAAAGTCAGCATATTGCCCCCAACAATCTATATCCTCATTTTACCAACATTGGAAGGTCAATCTTGAGGTGGTGAAAATTGAACTGCCGAACTGCTGGCAGCCGGCAATCAGCAGAAGTAGCCTGTAGTACTGCATTCTAACCACTGAACCACCACAGCTTTTAGGAGGCAGGCAATGGGAAGTCAGTTCCAAAACATTCTTGCCAAGAAAACTGCTGGAAGATGTCCAGGCAGTTGCAAGGAGTCAACACTGTCTCAAAGGCATCCATCTCCAAAAAAAACAAAACAAAAAAAGCCCTCTCAAAACATGTGGCTATCCCAAATCTCCCAAAAAAACCTCAGCAGGAGCTCTTCCATAACAGACAAAGAAGAGAACAATAAACAAAGCAACGTTGTTGTTCCATACATTGAAGGATTATCGGTAAAGTTCAGAAGGATCTTCAGCCAACACAATACACGTGCACACTTCAAATCCAAAAATACACTAAGGCAAAAGCTTATCCACCCCAAGGGTAATATATCCAGACACAAATTAAGCAACGTGGTATATGTAGTACAATCCAGTGAGCCATATGCAGATCTCTACATTGGGAAAACAACTACTTCATAAATTTGTGGCACAACATAGAACAAACCCATCAGAACAAAATTCAGTCCATTTGAATTTAGAAGACAAAAGCTTCTCTTTCGAAGACAGCAAAGTCCACATTTTGGACAGAGAGGACCGCTAGTTTGGAAGAGAGGTCAAAGAGGCCATCTATTTCAAAATTGAATATCCCTCTCAACAGATGGGAGGGATACAGCATCATCTATCTCCAGTCTAAAACAATCCTTTCAACAGTTCCAAGAAGGCTCCAGACCCATTTGCACTATTCAGGTGACCCTAATGACATAGATAAACCCCCCAGGTGGCCTCAACGACGCTCTAAAAGAATGCAAATGACCAGCTGTCTGCAAGGAATATGAATTCTTCCATTCCCCACCATTCATTCAGCTGAAGAAGTTTCTTTTTTTTTTTTCTATTTGAATATTTTATTTCATTTTCATTTTCATTTTCATTTTC